ACAGGAAAGGAAAAAACCCATTCCATAATCATAGCGGAGATTTTAAGATCCTCTCTCTACAACTGATACAAGAAAAAAAAATCATAAATATTTGGATCTTAAGCAACACACTTCCAAACAATCCATGGGTCAATAAAGATATGAGAATAATTTTTTTCAGGTAATAAATAAACAAATATTTATTTATTTGTTTGTTTGTTTACTGGAATTGGTGTCTCTGTCACCCAGGCTGGAGTTCAGTAGAACGATCATGGTCACCACAACCTCTACCTGCTGAGTTCAGATGACCCTTCAGCCTCAGCCTTCCAAGAAGCTGGAGCCACAGGCATGTGCCCGAGAATAATTTTTTAATTGAAATTATTATTGCAGCACTATTCACAATAGCCAGGATATGGACTCAACCTAGGTGTCCAACAACAGATGAATATATAAAGAAAATAGAGTGTATAAACACAGTGGATTACCACAGCCAAAAAAAGAATGAAATCCTGTCATTCTCGGCAACATGGATGTAATTGGAGGACACGATGCTAAAAGAAACAAGTCAAGAGCAGAAAGTTAAACCCCACATGTTCTCGTTCATATGCGGAAATCTTCAATGTTGATTTCACAGAAACAAAAAGTAGAACACAGGATACCAGAGGCTGTGAAGGGCAGGGGGAATGGAGGGATAGGAAGAGATCGTATTAAAGGATACAAAATTATAGCTAGTTAGGAGAAATAAGTTCTGTATACCACTGGAGTACTACAATTAGCAATAATATATCTTATCTTTTCTTTTTTTTTGAGTTGGAGTCTCACTCTGTCGCCCAGACTGGAGTGCAGTGGCACGTTCCCTCCCGGCCACCGCAAGCCTCGACCTGCTGGATCTGGCGATCCTTCCGCATCAGCCTTCCAAGTAGCGGGAACTACAGGTGCGTGGTACCACGCCCTGCAAATTTTTTTTGGTTTATTGTAGAGACGAGGTCTCGCCAAGTTGCCTGGGCTAGTCTCGAACCCGCAGGCTCAGGCAATCCATTCACCTTGGCCTCCCAAAGTGCTGGGATTACAGGCTGAGCCACTGAGCCTGGCCCAATAATATCTTTTCGAAGAGTTAAAAGGAGGATACTGAATAGTCTCACCACAAAGAAATGATAAATATAAACACTTGTCATGATGGATATGCCCTGATCTGATCACTCTACATTATATTTATCAAAATATCACTATGTAGCCCGTATATATGCATAATTATTATACATCTGTTAAATAAAAGGAAATTTTTAAAAAATTGAACTTAAAGATAATAAGAATATGTTACAAAATCAAGGAATGCTGTTGAAGTCAGAATCTTGGTTGATATTTACAGCTTTTTATTTATATCTTAGAAAAGAGGAAGGACTGACATCAGTGACCTACACATGCATCTGAAAAACTTAGAGGACTGCAGCAATTCAACAAAAAGTTAGGTAGAAAAAAGGAAACCAGCTGGGCATGGTTGCTCAAGCCTGTCATCCCAGCACTTTGGGAGGCTGAGGTGAGAGGACTGCCTGAGTCTAGGGGTTCAAGACTAGCCTGGGTAACTTGGCGAGACCTCATCTCTACAGTAAATCAAAAAATTAGCTGAGCATGGTGGTACATGCCTGTCGTTTCAGCTACTTGGAAGACTGAGGTAGAAGGATCACCTGAGCCCAGCAGGTCAAGACTGCAGTGGCCAGGAGCATGCCACTGCACTCCAGTCTGGGCAACAGAGTGAGACTCCAACTAAAAAAAAAAAAAAAAGAAAGAAAGAAAGAAAGAAAAGAAAAGAGGAAACAAAGAGTGAAATTAGTGAAGTAGACAACAAATATTTTCAACAAAGCCAAAATTAACTATTTCTAAAAAACTGATAAATATGACAGACTACTGGCAATCCTAATCAAGAAAAATAAATATGGCGCAAATAACCAATATAACCAAAAGGCCAGAGGGGTCATTATATACATATGTTAAAAAGGTAACAAAAGCATATTATTTTAAAAGCTCATATAAATAAACTTGCAACTTTGGATAAAATGAACATTTTCCAGTGTAAAATTATCAAAACTGACACAAAATTGTAAACAAAAATCTGAATACAATAGCTATTGAAGAAATTTAACATAATTAAAATACTTTCTACAAAGAAAACTTCAGGACCAAATGTCTTCTCCTGCAAATTATTCCAAATACTCCCAAATCCAGACCAATGGGCACTATGTCCAAGGATGTTATTTCCACTGTCCTGCTCACCTGACATTCTAAGGAAAGTGTCTAACAATCAGGCAGCAGGATTTGAACGCTAAAAGATAAATAAGACCCTCCTCTGTCCTGGAGTCTCATGTAAGGACAAGAAAGCCTCTTCTATGGAATAGAGTTCCCCAGCCCTGTGATGAAATGTCTTTGGAAGGGCTGAGCTTCCTGTCCACAGAGATGATCCAACAGGTACTTAATAACTATTGGCCAGGGACTCAGTAGGGTACTTCTACACAGCATATAAAGTTAGATGATCCCAGAAGTCCATTCTAGTTCTATGATGTTATTGACACACTCTGTTCCCTGAACCAAACTCTGGGCATCACATAAGGTTTAGCCCTGGACCAAAGTGTCCCCTGTTTCCAGAAGTGCTCCTGTGGTTGAGTATGTCTTGTTAATGGCAAGTTTACAAATGTGTCAAGGCATGTTTAAAAGGCAGCCATTCTGTTTTTCTCCAATCCTTACTTCTCCAGGCTAACCACACTCCTGTTTCCAGGCCTTTCACAAGCTTGGCTGACCTTATTATCCAAAAGACAATGAACTCAGAACATCCATTCCCAAATCCAGGCTGGTGGGCTCCTTGCATGAGGGTGTTATTTCCACTGTGCTGCTCATTTAATTTCTATGAATGCATACTACAAATGTGCTGAGGCTATAAGATTTTACCCAAATCCATAGGACAATATTCTGATTTATACTCGTAGAATGTACTAAAAAAAAAAAAAGAATATACTGGGGGTGCCAAAAAAGGTATACACATTTTAAGCATGATGTGCCCCCAAAAGATGGCATCAATCAAATGGATGCTAGTGTCACCTGGCGACAGACAGGTCACAAAAAATGGTGATTGAGCTACACATTGTTACCGTAGTTTAATTCAACTTCGAAAAATGATACATAGATAACATCTCTTAAAATGAGTACACATTTTTTGGGCAACCTCTATACATTCTAACATCTATTCGTTCATTTACTTAACCTGTTCATTCATTGTTCCAGTCATCTAATCTAATTGAATTATATCTTAAATTTTACTGACTCTAGAGAATGTAGATTAATCCATCAACCCCATGTTACTAAGGTTTGCAGATTTTTCTCAAATTGTGTCATGAGTGGAGCGCCCTCTCCCTGAGCAGTTAATTCTAACTTTCTCAACATCCTGTCACATATGATGAGGGCTTATAATATTTTAACGCAATGCCTTTTAAAGACATACTATACCTATGTGCACTTCATTTTTTTTGAGTTTTCAAGCAAAGTTTATTTAGAAAGTAAATTAGAGAGAGAGAGAGAGAGAGAGAGAGGACTCACCTCCCCAAGGTAGGGGAGGCCAAAGCCAAGAAACATGGTGGCCACAGCTCAAAGAGCCTTGAGCTCTTTGTTGGACACACCAGAGTTTAACAAAACAATGGCCCTATGTGCACTTCAAATGAAAATTCTTTAAGTCAGCAAAGATCCTATATATAGCATACAAGTAACACCGATTCTCTGTGGAATAGATAACTTACTCAAGAAAATTCTCAGATCATTAAGATATTCCTTTGACATGAGCCATTTCAATAGTGAGTTAACCTACACCCTGTAGCATGACCTTAACCTACTCTATCCTATAGACACTACACCCTGTAGCATGACCTTAACCTACTCTATCCTATAGACATGTGTGTCAAGCACACAGAGCCCCAGACCATGAGTCAGATGTGTGTTGTGTCTCGACATGGCTTTGGCCCTGTTAGACTCTGGGAGGCATTCTGTTTCTCCGTTTATTTCAATGTACACAAATTTTTAAGTGACTAATGATGAAACCTTCATCCTTGACAATGTAAAGAAAAATTAGACGCATTTTTCTGGACTCCCCATAAGTAACGAAAGCACAATTTGACATCAGAGATGAGTACTAAACTAGGCCTTGGTAAACCTGAGTTATCTCAGTGTAAACAGCCATGGAAAAGTCACTTAACTTCTCTGGGTTGCAGGTTTTGCATTCATAAAGTAGAGACACTGGATGAGTTGATCTCTGAAGTCCCCCTTACTTGCATGACTCTGTGTATCGGTCAAAATAAACTGGGCACATGTGCTCAGGGCATTTCACATTTAGCTGCACAACTTTTCCGTATTGCCTGGCAAAGTGTGTTCGTTCTGACCTTTAGTACTTGAGTATTTCAAAACAGCCAGTAATATCCTGATGACGGCAGGAAAGGGAGCCCTGTAACCCAGTCATGCGTCAATGACAACAGTACCTCTAGGCACACGTGTGTGTGTGAGCACGTGTGTGTGCATGCTCCCATGCAGGAGTAGGAGGTGACCAGCATGGAGATCACATGGTGCTCTGTGTAAGATCCAAACTCCTTTCTTTTCTTTTCTTTTCCTTCTTTTTTGGAAAGATGGACTTGCTATGTTGCCCAGTCTGATCTCAAACTGCAGGGCTCGAGCAATCCTCCTGTGTCAGCCTCTCAAAGTGCTGGTATTACAGGCATGAGCCACCACTGCTGGCCCAAACTCTTGTATATTTTATCACAAACCAAGAGAGGTTAAAAAGTTTCAGTATGTTTCAGTGGCAAGGAGACAATGCCAGCAATCACACACTAAACTTCTAAATGTCCTGAGCAACATGGAGTGGACCTGAGGGGGCTCACCGTGTGGCCATCACATGCTGGGCTAATGAGCGACACGTGGCAAAGTGACTCAAGTTTCTAAAAAGCCAGAATGATTGTTGAGTTCAGATCAGTGAATTCAGTGAGTCTTACCTTGGCAAAAGGTGTTGTTAACTCTCTTATAGCCTTGCAAGCACTCCATCATTTGGCTATAACCATGATAAGCTGTAAGAGAAGACATTCTTTGTTACACATTTAGTTTCAGTTCTTACCATCCTAGACTACTGTAAGTGACATCCAGAGCCTTATTCATGTATGGAAACCAATGTCAACGCACATCTCCACAATCTCATTCACATGATGCTGGTATCCCAGGATATTTCTTATTCTGCAATAGTTACAGTGTCCAAATGTCAGTAAACATTTATGATGCTAACTGAAAGCATTGTAAGATTGTTTTATAACTTCTTCCAATTAGTCACCACCTCGCTCTATCACAAGGAATCTATTCCTCTCTAGTGATGTGCTTTGGGGGTTTGGATTTTCTTACCCACATCTGAGAGGGTAGCGAGACGTCCTGGGATAGCCCGGGTCATGTCTGTTATTCCGGCAAAGTTAATTAACAGCACTTCACTCTTGAAAGTGTCCTAGTTTAGACAATACGTTATATGCTCCTTTTAATTGCAGGTGTGAGTATCCTAGTTATGAGATGGTTCTTTTTTGTAGGGGGGGACTTTATTAAGAATTCAAGAATTCTCAAAATTTCAGAGTACATAGGGGCTTCCATATATAGGCATGGTAGCAATAACCAATGTAACAATCACTTAGAGGATATTGTATTAGTTCTTGTGGCAATAATGCTATAGAACAAACCACCTGAGATGGTCCTTACGCCTATGACCCTGAGGGGAATAGGTAGGTGGGAAGGAGGGCCATGAGGTTAGGCTGCTGGAGTTCGCTGCCTGGTTCTCCACTCAGAAAATACAAACAACACTAACAGGGCAGTCACCATCTTCTTGACCAAACCCTGTTCACTGAGATTCTGACTCTAAAGGAAAACCTAGGAGACCATCGGGCAGAGCAGATACAGCCTAAGCTTTGGGACCCGGTGGACATGGGTTCAAATCTTCTCCCTATCAATAGCTCTGTGACCTTGGGAAACAAGCCACTTGGGTTTCAAACCAAAATTCTCTTCAATGTGGGTAATTCCCATCTATGAGCAGGGCAGAGTTGTTGTAGAGTTTAGAGACAAGTCTCGAAAAATGCCTCCCACAGAGCCTGACAATGAGGGTCAGATGCCATTGTCACCCCCTGCGGTGAGGGACCCTTCTATTAAGAGGACAGAAAATGGGCTATAATCCAAACAGGATGACAGGTTCAACCACTAAAATGAAAAGGGGAAGCTGAAAGTAAAAAGTAACCTTTTTATTTGAAAAATAAAATTGTGCCCTCCCTACTCACAGGGTGAATATTTACGAGGGGGTACCGCTCCTCCTTCACTTACTTTCTTTGCCAGATTTTCTCCTCTTCAGATCTTACTGAAAGCTTAAAAAAGGCAGACCAAGGCGAGAGGAGTCTGGGGATGGTGACTTAAAAGAGAGGAAATGACTGGGCGCAGTGGCTCACGTCTATAATCCCAGCACTTTGGGAGGCCAGGGCGAGGGGATTTCCTGAGCCCAGGAGTTCGAGATCAGCCTGAGAAACTTGGCGAGACCTTGTCTCTACAATAAATTAAAAAATTAGCTGGGCGTGGGGATGCATGACTGTAGTTCCAGCTACCTGGAAAGCTGAGGCAGAAGGATCACCTGAGCCCAGCTGGTCGAGGCTATGGTGGCCATGATTGTGCCACTGCACTCCAGCCTGGGTGACAGAATGAGACTCTGACTCAAAAAATAAAAAGATAGAAGAGGAGAAATGGGGGCACACAGGCATCACCCCACTTGGCTCCCTGGTCCCACACCAGGCTCATCGCGTGTGATGCAAACACTCTGGAACAGGCTGCCTGCAGAGACTGTGGGAACTCCCTGAGCATTCTTCCAAGGCAAAAGAGAGAGCTAATAACTTGGACTAGAAGCTTCGGCAATCATCGACTTCAAGGCAAGGAGCCAGACTAGGCGGTCTCTTAAGTCCCTCCTCGACTTAGAACTCTGTGTTCATTTTCTTCTAAAAATGTTTTAAGGACAAGTGACGTGTTCATGCTAAGCACCTTTCTAATAGATTACAAACTATTTAATGAAATCATGTGCAGACTTAAAATTAAGTTTTCACAGCAAAAATGATCAACAGTGAAAGGCCTTTCTGGATGTGGCAAAGCAAAACTTCGAACATTAAAGAAAAGCCACTTGAAGACTAAAGACTGAACTACTTTGAGTGAAAAAAAAAGAAGTATGGAACACAAAACCATAGCCTATAAAGCCAAGGAAAGTCTGCTCCTTTCCAAACTGAACATGACTTAGAGAGGAGGACCAACCAAGGGAAGGAAAATTTTTTAAATGACACAAGAAGAATGTGACCCTGCGTGTGTTTCTTGGGAGTGAGTCACTTAAGACGGCACAAACGAAGTAAATGTCAAGATGTTAACAGCTTGCTTCATTCATAATCTCCATCGCCCTTCCTGAGATGAAATCAATCTCTTCAATTTTATACATCACATGAGCCAACACATGAATGTATTTTCATCAAGGTTTGGTTAAAAGTGACAGCAACTTTGCCCCTTCACGTTCTACTTAAATCATCATCAAGATTAAAATTAAAATATTAAAATACAGAGCCAACAGGACCATATAGAGCAGTGAGTCTACCCTCAGAGGACTCACTTCTAGGTAAAAATGGCAAAAGGCCAGGAGTGGAAGTTAGAGATTAAAATAATAATAATAATAATAATAATAATAATAATGTATGAGTCCATTTATCTCCAATGTCTGTCACTTCCCTGCTCCTTTGGGGTTTAAACAAGAAAAGCTAAGCAAAAGACACACAAAATAGGGGGTGAATGGAAAAGAAAAATAGGAGAGAAGATGAAGAAATACTAGAGAACATAAACTTAAGCTCCATACAAAATTAAAAGCACCTAACTTCTCTCATCCTCTGTCCTTAGACCTAACATGGAAAATATTCACTCTCCTCAATATTCCCACAGATACATATACACGGGCAATGAAGGACAGGCCATTAAAAAACGATGGTGATGTTTTGTCTATGTTTTAGATACTGAGTCTAGTTTAATGTCCCCCAAGACTCCATAGCAAGTGAAAGAGCTGGGAGTCCAACTCAGGTCTATCTACCTCCAAATACCACGCTCTTTAAATGATACCCAAAGTATCCCAGATATCCCTTTGGCCAGGTTGCCAGAATAATTTTAGGCAAATGGATCTTCCAGTGAGGAGGGATCACCACGCACAACCTCCTTCCCGGAAATCCACATTGCAAATGATTATTGAATCAGTTTTGAACACCTACTTAGGGTATTCTCTTAGTACTGACTGTCCTTGTATACGTGAATTATTTTTCTAAATGAAGAACTCATTGATTATCAGAAACTTTAGTGGGCGTTTCCAGAAAGTAGACCACTAAAGAAGATAAAAGCAGCAACAACAAAATAAATGAAGTTAGTTTTAGGCATTTAGGGAACCTGTAAGTTTGAGAGGCAAGGAAGTCTAAATGTGAGACAATTTTTTTTTTTTTTGAGTTGGAGTCTCACTGTCGCCCAAACTGGAGTGCAGTGGTACACTCACGGCCACAGCAGCCTTGACCAGTTGGGCTCAGTCGATCCTTTTCCCTCAGCCTTCCAAATAGCTGAAAATACATGGCACGTGCCATCACGTCTGGCTAATTTTTAAATTTATTGTAGAGATGAGGTCTCACCAAGGCTGGTCTCGAAACCCAGGCTCAGGCAATTCTCTCGCCGCCACCTCCCAAAGTGCTGGGATGACAGACTTGAGCCACCACACCCAGCTAGAGAGGTAATTATTTAAAACAAATTATTATGCTGGTAGAAGAACAATTAGTATAAGAAAGAGATATGAAGCAGTCATTCCAAGATGCCAATTCTAGACTGAACAGATAGATGTAAAAGGCAGTTGAGAATATTGATCAAATCAACAGGTACTTAAGAGAAAACAAAAATTATCCAACTGAAGCAAATGAGAAATTTCTTGAAGCATGAAAAATAAACAATTATAAAAATCTTCAGTTATATGAGGCAAAGGAAGATAATGGAGAAAAATACCGCTTGTTCTCTTGGCAAAAACATGATGAGTAAGTGTAAGAAAGCTTAGCTACAAACAAGTGACTTCTGTCTTGCTAAAAAGTATTGATTAGAAATCAGTGGAATGAATGGCTACATTCAAAAACTAAAATACAAACTGCTGTTGGGAAGAGGATACTGGAAAGGTGTAAATCAACAGGTTCTGTAAGACACTTTAAGGATAAACCAAAGCATGTTGATGCTAATAGGAACTAATGTCGCCCAGGACTGTGGAAAAGATAGAGCCCAAAATCGAATTGCTCTGGTCTCCTTGAGCCCATACAAGCCAGTATGCCTTTCCCAGAATCCTGGGCGAGTCACAAGACATCAAGATTAGCATCTTTGTTCCAAAAATTTGCCTTCCAGCTAATGGCTCACCTTCTGTATGTGCCTGTGACTGACCCACCCATCCATCTGCCATCAGTAATGTGAGAAACAGACTACCACTCCATCACCATGGCGACACTCAAGAATGCTTACCTGCCCCCATTAAAGGAAAGTCACCCACTTCAAGCATTCGCTAACAAACGTTCCTTAGGCATCTGGCCCTCCCCCCTCCAATCTTAGAGAGGTAGATCACCCTGTTTCTCTGATCTACTTTCTAAGTTAACTATTTTTCTGAATCTAATTTCTGTATAATTCTTCACATATCTGTGGCACAACTCAGCTCACCGACCTAACAATTGCAATAGCATAAAAGTACTGCTAAGAAAAAGGGAAAGGTATTATGTCCTAGTGATGGTACGTTTCTCTTTTACAAATCAGCAACCAGTCATTTCTCCATTTCAGTCTTTCTTTTAACGAAATTTAAAAACCTATGGTATAACAAAAACTTCAACATAGGTTATGGATATTAATGCACATCTCATTTCAGGAATTTTAATTTAGGAAATAACAACTCCACTGGCTTTTATAGGGTTCAAAACATTCACTTTTATAGGGTTCACAACATTCATACCTTAAAAGACATCTTCCTTTTCACTTCCCTGGAGACAAAAGAGTCTATATTTTAGCTCCTTGCCACTTAAGACTTTCTTTTCCCCATAAGTAATCCAATTGGAGAAGGTAATTAATAACTGTGCTTTTTTTTTAAAAACAATCTATATAAACACATTTCAGACCTGCAAGTTTTCTGGAAATGCATATCATTAGCATTATGTTCTAGAATTCAGTCAGAGTTTTTTGAAAACCTGATGTCGCCTCAGCATGAAAAGAGGAATCAAAAGAAAACAGATACACTAGTTAACTGGCGATGGCAGGCTGAAACATCCACTTACCGGGCTTCTTGGGGCATTTCTGGCATTTGTGGAAGCCCCAGGAGGTACCCACGGTTCCACAGCAGTCCTCTTGCTTTGAAAGGCCGGGGAGGGCTTTGCCACACTGTAATAATTAGGTGTGAAATATGAAGGTTAATTGAGGGCAGAGTGCTAGGTCCCAGAGCTCTGCTGTGCTTCACAGGCACATTATAAAACAGCTCCCTTGTTATCGACACAATTAGAGAGGGAAAAAAGACCATAAAACATTGAAACAAAGAACCAGGACAGAATCCGTTCAACACTAAAAACGAACAAGCACATTTATAGCTAAGAGCGCTTGGACATTTTTAGAGTCTTAGGAAAATGTGTCACTGCTCAGAGCACTTTATAAAACTTGTTTCCAAAGGGTTTTTTTCTCCTTAATAAAGCCCCGTGATATATAAGATCAACGTACATTTTTAAAATTTTAGTTGTAACTGTTTACATCTCTCCTGTGGATCATCAGGAAAGAAAACTCTAAGGGTATGGCCTGTGTGTGAAACCTGAGAAGGTGGCCCAGGTCCCACTGACAAGACGCTTCTGGTCTTCCCATAACCCCAAGGCCTGAGCAGGGATGGGGAGGACCGCCCAAGAAATGACTATCGGCTGAGTCCAGTCAGCTCCAGCAGAGACGAGGGCTCTGGGCAACCGAGCCTTCTGACCCCAGGAGGTCAGTCAAGCTGGGAAGGGGCCAGCAGATCTAGGCCAGACCAGCCGAGCAGGCAGAGAAGCAGGGCTAGAGGTTCTGGAGCAAAACTGGCTGTCCAGCGAAAGGCCCAGGGAAGACTTCTAGTCAACCACAGGAGGTGGAAGGAGGCTGGGAGACAGGACCCCAGAGTCAGATCAGCTTTGGGGGGCAGTGAAGCACCTAGGCCAACAGACCCTGCTCTGTGGGCCCAACCAAAGACCGGTCGGGCAGGGAGGCTCACCTGACTCCCCCTCCTGACTGTGCAGCCTGAGTCTGCACCCCACATCTTTGTGTCATGCCCAAATGCAGAGCATCCAGGGGGTCCTCTCCCTCTGCCTTGACGTCTACAAAACTCCCCAAACAGTATCCAGAGTCATCCATCATTCTAAACACAGATCTCACTGTTCTACGAATTAAACAGTCTCAAGGCCCCTCCGCTGTCTGAAAACCGCACATTCTCTGGCATCACCTACAAGGTCCTTGCCGTCCCCAGCTCAGGCAATCACTTGTTCCCTTCTACTTCTCTGTGTCTGCCCTTTGGGAAGGCCAACGGGCTCTTTATTTTTCTGAACAAGCCATGTCCTTCCAAAAAGCTGTTTCCTCTCCCTAGGATGCCCCTTCCTTTTTTCTTTCCCCAGACAAACTTCTCCATCCGTGGGACCCAGTTGTGAAGATCCATCACTGCGTCGCCCCGTCTCCTGACCTGTGGTCTCCCTCCTCCTCCTCACCCCCCAGCACTTTCGACACCATTCCACTGCCCCAATATGTTTTGTTAAAGGCACATGTATCTTGTTTGTCTCCCAATAGCACAACTGCAAAAGCTCGATAAATGCAAAATAAATGCACAAAAGAACAGCCAACCTACAAAACTAAAGAACAAGTTAGGGGTAACCCCTTCCGGTCTCCTCCGCCTGTGGGAGGTTTTACATTCTCTCAATAAATTTTGCTTTCTCACTTAAAAACAAAAAAAGAACAAGCTAGCTGCAGTCCTTCCAGAAAACCAACAGAATTTAGCACCCATGTCCCAATGCAGGTGATTAAAAGTCCAGGTAGGTGATGACTTTTGGAAGGGCAGCAGATGGTAAATGCCAGCTGCCTGACGGGCCTCCAGGGACAGTCTCTGTGCCACTGGATCCAGATATCCTCCACCCTGATGAAGGCACTAAGTGACTACGTATCCAAATTGTAAAACCAAACCAAACCGGAGAGGGCCCAGCACCGTGAATGACACTGTAGTGACATCATAGCTTTGGTGCCCTAAGTTTTCATAGTTTTTAGTGATTTCAGCAGGATGCCATGTGCTCTCCCAAAGCAGAGTCTGACAGTGATTAAAAATGTGACTCAGGAGTTAGCCAGGCCTGAGTATGAAATCTGGCTCTTGGACTTCTTCCATGCATTCTCTTAGGCGAATTTTCTTACCAAAAACAGAGGGTCCACAACAGTGTTTTCCTCATGGCACCATGAAATGTGAAAGGCGAAACACGTGTATAACACTGTGTAACACACCTGCCCCCTCAGTGCTAAGCCATCATTACCATCATCATGAACTGTTGTTATTATCATTAATAAAAGTTTCTGCCCCAGGTATCCCATTTGCGATTCCCACTGCCTGCCGGATTCCCCAGGGAGAGGAAGGCCTGTGAGTGGACTAGCTCCTAAGTGCTCTATCCATCCAATGGGTTAGCCTAAGTGTAACATCTCCCCTCCCCCTCCAAAAGTACCAAACCCCAAATGGCTCTCTAGGCTAAGCTGAATTTCCCTGAAATAAAAGTTGTGTCAAGACACTTTGAGTTAAACAAGAACAGACATACAAAAATAACTGCCTTTTTTAGATGAACCCAAAAAAAATGCATCATTCTGGGGAAGACACTGATGAAAAGTCCTAGTGTAAGCTAGTAAGGCCCAAGGATCAGCACGTCTCACGAAACCTGGGCAGTAACTCTCACAGACACGTGGCATGTCTTCCTCGAGAGAGACAAGGAAACCCTCCTGCAAAACAACCCACCTGGATAAGCCTTTACTGAGGAACCGTCGTATGCCAGATACCAATGCACTCACTTGGGGAAGCCTATGTCGAGGCAGCTCTCGGGGAGATTCCTTACCAGGTGCAGCCTTGACTGTGGGAAAAGCCCCCCAGGCTGGAAGCACACCAGGGCCACAGGTGCATGGCCTCAGATGTGGTGGGCAGAATGAACGGAACAATGTGATGAGATGGAGGGAGGGAGGGAGGAGAGAGGGAAGGAGGGAGGAACACACACACACACACACACACACACACACACACACACACACGGGAAGGGGTACAGAAAGAGTCAACATGAAAACAAATGAGAACCTGAGAGAAGAGAGGCAATGTTCTGGGCTAGAATTGGGTAATTCCCACACTCCCTGAGCTGAATCACAGGCATCAACCTGAAATTTGAAAGACAGAAGGAGGAAGGGGCACAATGACCCAGGCATAAGACTAGGAACAAGGCCGGACTCAGTGGCTCAGTCTGTAATCCCAGCACTTTGGGAGGTCGAGGCGGGTGGATTGCCTGAGCCTGAGGGTTCAAGACCCGCCTAGGCAACTTGGCGAGACCTCGTCTCTATAATAAATCGAAAACTAGCCAGGCGTGGTAGCACTCGCCTGTAGTTCTGGTTACTTGGAAGGCTGAGGCAGAAGGATCACTGGAGCCCAGCAGGTCGAGGCTGCAGTGGCCGGGAGTATGCCACTGCACTCCAGTCTGGGCGGCAGAGTGAGACTTCAACTCAAAAAAAAGACTAGGAACAAAATGATCAAAACACAGAGGTCAATGGACTACTACACAGCCATAAAGAAGGATAAAATTATGGACTTCACAGCAACTTAGATGGAGTTCATGTCTAAATACTCGGTGATCTACCACAGAAACAAAAAACTGAGTACCCTATGTTCCCATGCATAAGCACACCCTAAACATTTATCATAATACTATAAGAAAGGGATTGGCAGTAGCTGGAAACTGCCAGGAGAGGCACAAAACATCAGTAAGGGTATCTGACCCTAAACCAGGCACAGTGGGGGCCAAAGGGAAGCCCAAAGTTTACCTGTAAACTGACCACTTATTTACCTATTCCTGAATTGTACCCTGCATCTTTAAAATAAATAATTAAATAATAAATTTAAAAATAAAAATAAAATAATGCAGCTCACCCCAACTTTTCATTCAAAAACAAAAACAAACAAAAAAACACAGGGATCACCACCATTGCAACCTGGCTGCCAAAGCTTCCTGTTTCTTTCCAGCTTTGGAAATCAGTTAAATTGACATGAGACACCGGTTCCCATCAGATGTGGAGCATTCCTGTACCAGACTCTTTGGGCTCTTCTCTTCATCGAGCAAAACACTCAACACTTGCTGATTTTATATGCTCAAAATGTTAGTAGCAGTTAAAATCCAATTTTCACTTTGGATTCCTAGAATGTTTTATTTGGTAGGGCAAAAATAAATCACTTTCCTCAACCATGCCTTCAGAAAGGTACAAGGTTTTCATTACGTGATTTGGGCCGCTTATCCCAAGGCTTTGTTTTTGCAGGTTCACGGCCAAGAGCAGCACAAGCCATCCAAATCGATGGAATACATGGTAGCGTAGGTGGGACCACAGCACGGCGTGTGTCTCAAAACTGGGTCTGCACAGTGTAAGGGCGAGTATGAGGAATGAAGTCACCATTATGACAAGGCTCAAAGTTTCACATACGCCCTTTAGTCATCTAGCTATGGAGAGACTTAGTGTGCAGCCAGAAACTCCCCCAGAGAGACCTTTGTGGCCAAACTCAGGGCTTTTACCCAAGAGGCCACTGAATATCCCCAGGTCTCACGTGGCATAGAAAATACCTAAAAGAAAAGAAGGTGGAAGAGGGATCTGCTCTCTCCCACACCAAAAGGCCATTCTGTAGAGAAAGAAACACATGGACCAGAACGAGGAAAGCATTCAGAAAGTCCTTCTCAAAGATTGGAAGGGTCTGCCTCTAGGCAAGATGTGATCATGTAGATAGAGAATCACTTTGTCTACCTCCATGTTTTATGCACAGACTGAGGTGACTTTTGTACAAGTTAAAAGCACAAATGCAATTTCTCCTATGTGAGCCATCTACCACATTTTCATAGAAAGCCTGTCGGTCATTTCAGGATACATCTTAAGCAACCCAGGGAAAATGTGCTCAATGTGCAGCCCAATATTTAGCTATGTCAAGCTCAAAACAAAAATCTAGCTCATTAAACAAGCAACGTGTTATAGGTCCTCAAGAAACTCACACAACCTTGGGTCACAGATGAAGGGTCACTGTAAACCCCACACAGCCGCCATGCTGTGATTCAGCAAATGCAGGACCCAGCTAGGGCGGTACAAGCAGAAAAATGAAGGTTCTGGCAACC